AAGGAGAAGAAAGGGGGTAAGAAGAAGAAAGGGGATAAGAAGAAGAAGGGGTAAGAAGAAGAAGGGGGAGTAAGAAGTAGGAGGGAGTAAGAAGAAGAAGGGGGGAGTAAGAAGAAGGGTGGTAAGAAGAAGAGGGGAGATAAGAAAGAGGGGGTAAGCAACTGAAGAAGAGTGGGGGGAGCAAGAAGAAGAAGAGGGTGCAAAGAAGAAGAATGGGGTAAGAAGAAGAGGGGGGGTAAGAAGAAGAAGGGGAGTAAGAAGAAGAAGGGGAGGAAGAAGAAGAGGGGGAGTAAGAAGAAGAAGGAGTAAGAAGAAGCAGGGGGGAGTAAGAAGAAGTAGGAGGGAGCAAGAAGAAGCAGGAGGGGGTAAGAAGAAGAAGGGGAGGAAGAAGAAGAAGAGGGGGGGTAAGAAGAAGGGGACAAGAAGAGGGGAGTAATAAGAAGAAGGGGAGAAGAAGAAGGGGAGTAAGAAGAAGAAGAGGGGGGGGGAAGAAGGGGGGCAAGAAGAAGGGGGATAAGAAGAGGGGGGAGTAAGAAGAAGGGGGAGCAATAAGAAGGGGGGAGTAAGAAGAACACAGGGAGGAGGGGGATAAGAAGAACACAGGGGGGTGAGGAGAACACATGGAGGGGGGAGTGAGAAGAACACAGGGAGGGTGGAGGGGGGGTGAGAAGAGCACAGGGAGGGTGGGTGAGTGTGAGAAGAGACCGCTAGGGGAGGGTGGGGGAGAGGAGAGACCACTAAGGGGCAGGGGAGAGCTCTAAGGGACAGAAGGGACAGCTCTATAGGATAGGGGGCAAGACAGGGAGCTCTTTCACACTACGCACACACAATGCATCCCTATACATACACAGAAACACACAATGCATCCCTACACACACAGAGACACAACATGCTTCCCTTACACACAGAGAAACACACAATGCACCCATTACACACACACACAATGCAACACTTACACACAAAGACAATGCATCCTTTGCACACATACACAGAAACACACAATGCAAACCCTTACACACACATGCAAACACACACACAGAAACACAATGCATCTCTTACACTCAATGCACACACATACAGACACACACATTGCATCCCTTATGCATACAAACACAGATTCACACAATGTATCCCTTACACACAACCAGAAACACATAATACATCCCTTATACACAAATACACACTGCTTCTACTACACACAAACACACTGCATCACCTACACAAACTGGTTACCCTATACACTAAATACCATAAGCACACATATTAGATCCTCCACAATAACACATAACACATCCCCTACACACTCCACTCCCTGTGAGCGAACTCATGGGTGGGTGGAACATATAAGTGGACTTATGAGTGGGCCTTATGGGCATACTCACTGTCAGGCCCTGGGGCCCAGACCTTGAGCTGTGTAAGGGGCCCTAAAAAAATGGAGCTGCTTCCAATTCTCCCAGAACATTGAATTTTGTGACCACAGTTGCAAACAGCCTCCAGATATCCTTTTCTACACCAGACCAGTGGAGCAAAACTGCAGCCCATCATCATCCTCATCTGGTTGTAAGTAGGCAATCTAGTATATTATTAGTGACAATAATCTATAATTTACCTCACCTTAAAGGGACACTATAGCTTAATGAAGTGGTTCTGGTGTCTGTAGCCGGTCCCTGCAGGCTTTTTAATGTAAACACACACTGTGTGCAGCACTGTCGTTAGTTCATATGGCAGATCATATGGGTGGGGCATTGTGATGTCACATGGGGGGTGGCGGAAAATGTTTATTTTGTCTAGGGCGGCAAAAATCGTTGCACTGATCCTGGGCAGGTGCACCAGTCTACTGGTGACCCACAGGAGGGGAGTGCACTAATTGCACTGCCCTCTCCTCCTTCCCAGACCTGTCTTTACCGCAGTGCAAGTGCCCTCTGCCCCTAATTTACAGTGGCTCACACTCACAACAAGCAGTGCCTGGAGCCCTTTGCAGAGACCGGAACAAAGAGGTTCTGCGGCAGCTGGCCTTCCTGCAAGCATTACATTAACCAGCTGTTCCCCATGCAGCCACAGGTGGCGCTGTGCTGGGAGAATGTGATTACTCTTCACTTCCTCCCAGCCTACAGAGCAGCGCATGGGAGAGAGAGGAGGAGGCATGATTTAATCTTACAACAAATCCACTAAGCAAATCTTTATAAATTTGGGGGTGATCAGCTCTGTTTCCACAGTTTATTGGTGTTTACTCTGATGTCTGTATTAATATTGAGGGATTTCTAAGTAGTAACGTCAGTGTG